GCTGGTCAATTAAAAATAGTTCATTGTTGCAAATTGCCAGCACTTAAAATAGGATAATCAATTTACTTTTTCACCTAAATATTTTTACTCATCACTGTCCTCTAGTTTTTGTTTTATGCTGTAGTTATTTTTACAATATTGTATTTTAAGGATAAATCGGTGGCAGCTTGAATTAACTTCCTATTTTCCCTTTTCTGAATAAAAGCAATTCCTTATTTAATCTGTTGGAGGCTAAAGCTCTTGAGTTTAAAACTTGCAAAAATCATCTACTCCCAAAAATGGGTTCCTACGCTAAATGAGTTTTTCAAAATCCCACTCCCAAAGGGTGATTGAACAAGGTTCACCTTGTTTCCACATTCTGGGGGAGTTGTTAGCTCATCAGTAGTTTTACAGTTTATAACATCTGGATTTTTATTGCAGTTTGTGCAGGAAATGGACAGAACCACTTCCCCTAACTAAGTCTGTTTTGGGAGGGAAGGCTCCACAATTCACGATTGTCCATCTATTTTGCTGATGCATAGGACCAGAGCTTGATTTTTTTGGGTACCCCATTGGTTTGGGTATGACCAGTGACTGGCTAAGAGTACTCTGAGTGCACACATCTTTAACATAAATATCATGAGCAAGGTCTTTTTTTCATAGAAAAGTAGAATGAGTAAAATGGATGTATTTTGTACTAAATGTGGGCATCTGTTCAGGTCATAATTGTATTTGAGATATTGTTTGCAATTGTGCATTTGATGCTTTTTACAGGTAGATGGTATCTCCTTAGTCTGCAAGCTAATGATGTTAAGCACCTAGTGGTACAGTATCCAGCTGCTAATGGATCAATGGATTCATGCAATCAGAATTTTATCTTGTAATAGTTCATGAAATATTTCATATTGACACACGAACCTGAAGCTAAACCATTTTTCTTATAACCTCGGGAGTAAATAGATTCATGCCACCAGAGATCATAGTATGTGTTTTGATTCACTTCCAGTTTCCAATTGTTTTTGGAGTTGTTAATAGCTTAACCTGAAAAGCAAAGCACGAGCCATATGTGATGTCCCTGATGTGGTTCCTACTAGTTGAAATGACTTGTTGGTTCCCTCGTGGCCATAATTTTATTGTGCACGCCAGCCATCTACCTCAATTGGGGTTTCTGAAAGCAAGAAATGGGAGAATCCATCAGCATTGCAGGAAAACGAAGCAAGAATTTTGAAAGTCAGTATCCATTCAAGGATTTGAAAAATGCCAAAAGGGCATTGGATTTGGGGCAGTAGTTCTTTTATGAAAGGCATTGAGAATGGGCATTCTGAGGAATGTGATGCTGGAAAGGGAGTGCTAACACCGATTCTGCATAAACTGACCAATAGGGGATGTTTGAAAGCACAAGTTTAGATTCTGGAAGTGTGGCTGCTAATTGTGGAGGTAGGAATACTCATTGAGCGTGTACCCATTGTTGTGGATATGCAGTGACACAGCACGATTGTAGTGAGCGGAGAACCTGAAACTTTCAGGTAGGCTGTCTGTATAATGGCTTTTGAATGGGACGAATAGCAGTATGTAATGTAGATTTTTTTGAACTGACCATTCAAATACAAAACCACTACGTTTTGAATACACCCCTTGGTAAGCACTGTTTAAGGGTGCTTTTGTCCCTGTATCAGGAGCAGATGACCCAATTCCTGCTTTACTTAGTGACCTAGGTTTTTCCACTTCCTGAAGGTTTGGGCTCAATTTTTCTCTGTCGCTCAAATGTCATGATTAGCATAAGTCTTGAATAATTATAAGTCCCTATTATCAGTAGCATACAATGGGGAGGAAATGTCTATTTTAGTGCAGTTTATTATTCTCTAGCATTACGAAGCAATCAGCTATTATTATGCAAATTCCCCCCACCCACTTTTTGACCCAACAGGGAATCTGTTCAATACAACCTTAGATCAGTGCATTTATGTTTTGAGGCACTCTTTGAGCCATGCCTTTGACACTGTATGTGTTTAAGAAGTATTTTCCCCCATATTTTTCCCCATTTGAGAAAAATGCTCC